CCATGTTCAGTGATGGTTACTTACTGTGTTTCCCATGTTCAGTGATGGTTACTTGCTGTGTTTCCCATGTTCGGTGATGGTTACTTACTGTGTTCCCCGTGTTCAGTGGTGGTGACTTACTGAACTGCAGATACAGAATGTCTCCATCACCACTTCCGGTTCTAGTGGTCAGCACAGGTCTGGACTCCGGGACACATTTTTAAGGCTCTCTGAGGTCTTTCCTCCTGATTGACACCTGAAGTTTCAGCCCATTAGTTTGAGTTCAGCATTGTGTGAGCTCGGCCACTAAGAGATAGAAGACAGTCTATGGCCGAGGTTTCTAAAGAGCAGCTAATGCTACAGAAATACCCACATAGGTAACATCAAAAAATTTCCCAAGTGTACCCCTGTCTCCTCCCGCTCATCTGTGATGGCTAGGGGTTTGCCCTAATGTCATTGCTGAACTTGCCCATTGGGGTTTAAGTGCTCTCAGGTCCTGCCCAGAGCTGGACTAACAGGCTTGTTTGGTTCTGAGGTGTTTCTGAAGTCTATTTTTGGCTCCAGCAGGGACTGAGGAGCCATGACTTGCTATCTGGGCCCAGCTCCTCTCTGAGACTGTCTCGCTGAAGACTGGTGGCTTTTGGAGTAGAGCCCTTAAAGGAACCTTAAACCCCTGGGCTGGTTCCACAGGGTACCTGCCTGGAGCTCCCAGGCCACAGAATCCATTCCATGTCTCCTTTCCCACCCATCCTAGGAGGGTGCATTCCAGTGGGACGCTCATGGTCCTATCATGGTGTTGACACCGTTGACCACTCCCTTTGTCTTGAAATAGTCCCCTCACCTGGCTTCCAGGGACCACACTCTCCTGGTTTTCCTCCTTCCTCTTCCTGGTTCCCATTGCTGGCTCCTCCTCATCTCCCATCCCCAATATGTTAGTGGTCCTGGGGCTCATGCCTTAGAGCACTTTCCTTGTCACTGCCCAGTCCCTGGGCATTCTCATCTCATCCACTCTTCTGGTTGTGAGTGCCGTAATATGCTGGTGATCCCCAAATTGCTCTTCCCAGCCTGGATCCTCCTGTGTACTCCAGGCTGGAACAGCCTCTCCACTGCACTGTCCATCTGCCAGCCTTCATGTATCATGATGACCCAAACCAAGCTCCTGATGCTCCTCCTAAAATCCTCTCCTCCCACTGCTTTCCTGATTTCAACCCCAGCTTCTCAGTTGATTGGGATCAAAACACTGGAAACATCCTTGATTCCTCTTTGATTTCGTTACACTCTAAGTTAAATCCACCAGCAAATCCTGTCGGCTCTACCTTCAGAATGCATTCAGAATCTTACTAGCTCCATGGCTACTGCCCTGGCCCAGACGCTGCTAGCTTTGACCTGGATTACTGCACTGGCCCCTCACTAGTCTTTCTGAGTCCGCCTTAACCCCATAGTTCATTCTCAACACAGCAACCTGAGCATGTGTTTAGGAATGTCCATCAGTTCAGACAGCATTCCCTCTGTGGCTTCTCATCTTACTCAGTTATCCCCAGGATTTTCAGAGCAGAAGTTCTCTGGCCCCACATCCTGGTATTCTCTCTCCTGTGTACTCTCCAGCATCTAGACCTCCTTGTTCTGCTTCAGGTATGCCACACACTCCTACCTCAGGGCTTGTGAACTTGACTTCTCCCTCCCTGAAATGCTCTCTCACCCCTAGATCGCCACATGGCTCACTCTTCCACTTCTTTAACATTGTTATCATCTCACACCCAACTTCTTGACCTCACTGCCGCCTGCATTTACCGCGATCTGACATGTGCTTTACTCATTGTCTATCTCAGGATGTAAGGGACTGAAGGGTAGAGTGTTTTTCTGTTTTGTTCACTGCTGTCTCCCGGTGCTTCAGAGTGGTGTCTGATACAAACCATTCATTCATGCAGCCACTGGGTTGTGCCGGTACTCTTCTAGGCATGAGCTACATACATCAGAGGCACAGCAAGGTGCTGAGGGGGTTCAGAGGTAGTCAATAAATGTTTGCTGAGCAAGTCCTCTTTCCGTGTGTTGGTTGCCCAGGGCCCCTCACGTCCCGTGGCTAGCCTCCTGTTTTTCGATTTGCCTGCAATGATGTTTGTTCTCTTCCTTCCCTGTAGAGTTTAGTGTCTTGATGAACTTGCTCAGCTCAGAGGATGAGATTCTGGTGGGAAATGCCGCCCTCTGTCTTGGTAACTGCATGGAGGTGCCAAATGCTGCAGCTTCCTTGTTGAAGACAGATGTTGTGAAGATCTTGTTAAAGCTTGCAGGTGGTGATGCCCAGAAGACTGCGGTGCAGCTGAACGCCGGGATTGCTCTGGGGAAGCTGTGCACAGCTGACCCAAGGTACGCAGTGTGGGTCAGCCCTGAGTATGCAGGACCAATGAGGTGCAGCGTTTTGACTAGGTCTCTGTCCTTGGGAGATGCACATGGTTAACGTGATTGGATGCTAGTCCACCAAGAAATAAGTGCCTTGGGAGAAAGGTGTGGCAGTCTGCTTGTCAAAACGCAGCCACTAAGAACCCTGTGAAACACAGGTCTACTCTGAACTGTGCGTGTGAGGTTGCCGTAAGTCGGGATGGATTCCATGGCAGCTGGTCATGGGCCACACCGAACTCTGTGGAACCCCCATGCCGCCTGCTGTGCATGCACGTGTTAGCCCCCCACGTGCCTTCCTCCCCAATAGCTGCTTCTCAGAAACAGTGAGATCCTGCCTCATGTCTGGCCGTCTCCTAAATAAATGGAAGCATATCCAGTGAGGATCACACTTTCATGCTGGAGAAAACTGAGGCCGAGATGCAGAGCAGCCTGGCTGAGGCCAGTTAGCCAGCCGGGCTGTGGTTCAGTGCTTTAACTGCTGTACTCGCTTCACCCTTAGCTCACACTTCTGCTCTGGCCCATGCTGATGTGCTCACCTAATCATAGATGTCTCAGGAAGGCGCCCACCTGGAGCTGAGTGGTGGGGTCTGCCAGAGAAGGAAGAGGTTGGCTTCTGGCCTGGCAGGTCTCTTCCCCTCATACCTGAGCGCCTCTAAGTCCTCCTCTGTCCAATGATAGGATTGGCCTGGATGATTTCTCAGTTCAGTGTGATTGTTCAAATGGAAGAAACAAATGAAATCTTTTCTTCCGCAAATAGCCAGGATGAGCTAAAAGTGGCAAGTGGCCAGGGAGTTCCAGAGAGCAAAGCCCCCACCGATCAGACTAGCATGTCCACCGCACCTGCTGAGAGGGTTCTTTCTGTGATCTTGAGGGCTCCCCAGTGTCACAGCCATAGGGGTAGTAGCCCCCAGAGGTCATAGATCTGATACTCTGTCCGCTCATATCTGTGACGGGGGACAGCCTTGTTTGTCAATAGTCAAACAAGGCATTCACTCCCTGAGTTTTGTGTTTGGTTTAACAGGTATGCAGCTCAGCTGGGAGAACTTCACGGGCTAGAAATCCTCCATTCTACGGTGAAGCACATCAGAGACTCTTGAGAGATGTGAGGCTTCTGTTCAGTTTGCAAATGCTATAGGTTATTCCTGTTAATAAACACTGTTTAAACACCATTCTAGAATGGAATACTTGTCAGTGTTTCATCTCTTGGGTCTTCCAGTCATACAAAGAAAGTGGGCAGCAGGTTTCCTGAGGGGCAGGAAATTGTGGATTGGCCTGCTCAATGCCCAGCCAAATCCCACATTCCCCAGACTCCTTATAGCAGGGAATCGAGATGGAAGTTCAATTCTAATCTCATGCTATCCCCTGCTCATTGTGCTGTTTTCTGCCCGCAATGTGTAGAAACAGCAGGGTTTTCTGCAGCAGCATTTCATGTCCATTGTGCAGCTGCTGGAGCACTAAGAGGCAGCAGTGTCAGCGGTGGTGGGGGCATCCGGAAGCCTGGGTGGCAGCGGTAGCATGTGTTCTTGAATCCAGTGGTTCAGGTGGTGGGGAGGGGCTTCCTGGTAGGGGAGCTCGGGGAGGCCCAGCCTAGTGCCCTCCCGCAGTCCATTGAACATGTCTATGTGTGAAATTAGTCTCTGCTTAAAGCGCCAAAACAAAGGATCCTATTCCTGCACTGCATCCTGACTGGTACATAGTTCTTTCTTCAGCCCACCTTGTACCCTTACCCTCTTCACAAAAGGGACTGTGCCTCTGGGCTCCTCAGAAACAGACAGGGTCACCTGTTGGCCCCCAAGTACCTAAGGGGAAAATCTAATAAGTCACACTTCTTGTCAGCTTTCCATTACAATCACTTGACCATTTGAGGGTAGGAGGCAAGACATGCGTGGTATAGTGAACACCAAGAGGCCCAGGTCAAACTGCTGAAAACCCCTAGTCCTATTCTTCTCCCTGCCAGCTGTGTGACTTTGGGCAAGTTGCTTAACCTCTCTGAGCTTTGGTTGTTTTTTTCTATAAAAATTAGCATCAGACCTGTCCAATCTACCTCCTGTGTTACAGCAAAGGCTAAATAAGGTCTTGGAGGTGGAGGCATTTGAGTAATGAAAATGAGTTACACAAAAATGTCTTGGAAAAATGGAATGAAAAGATAATACAATTTTTCACTGCCTTTTTGAAGCCCCTCATACTAGAGATGACTGGGTGCCATCTTGAGGGGAAAGGTTTAAGTATAACATCAGTTGGGTTAAGTGTAAGATGTTAGAGTTGGACATTTTTTTGAAGCACACTGGAAAGGAAATCTACCTCCTGGGAGATTTTATTCCACTCATTTAAAGAAATGGTTCTTCACAGGTGAGGTAGCCCTTGGCTTAAATGAATTCTTCCTAAAGCCAAGATAAACCCCAAACAAACCCACTGCCGTAGAGCTGATTCCAACTCACAGTGGCCCGATATAGGGTTTCAGAGACTGTGAATCTTTTATAAGAGCAGACAGCCTCATCTTTCTCCCAGGGAGCAGCTGACCTTGGGTTAGCAGTCCACTGTTTAACCCACAGCACCATTGGAATTTGTTGTTAAGTGCTGTCGAGTCTGTTTTGACTCATAGCGACCCTGACCTAGCATAGGGTTTCCAAGGAGCGACTGGTGAATTTGAACCGCAGACCTTGTGGTTCAAACAGACCTTGCGGTCCAGTGCTCTCTATCCCACAGCGCCACAGATGGTTGGAAATCAATAACTCTGAGATCCTCTGGAATGGGTGCACCATGTGGGCAGGACGGAACTCGCTGGAGTGCTTCCACAACACTGTCCACAGGCAGCAGGCAAATGGCAGGCCACAAAGTGGCTGAGATGGCCCCATTCCATCCCCATCATGCAAACAAACACCCTTCAAGAAGTTACTGAATTGGTTGACAGGAATGGGCAACTTAGACATTGGCTACCCAAAATGGGAGTGGGAAGGGGCTACAAAGGCAAGAAATGACTGGCTTACACGCTTTCAAACGGGAGCCTAGTTCCAGATGAGGCGGGGGAAGGTAGAATGACCACTGAAAGATTTCCAATCAGTTGGGACCAGGCTAGGGAAAGGAAATGGGGATAAGACTCTTGTGGTACACTAGTGAATAATTGCCATCAGGACTGACTGTGAGGGTAGGAAAAGAGGTAGATATTTTTGACAAAAGGAGGAGAGAGATTGATTTTGCAGCCCAGGAGCAGAGGTCACTGGGACCATCAAGTGAGAAGAACAGAGAGTGGGGCCCTACCCTGAGAGGCAGTGACAACGTAGACAGATGAAGCGGCTGGGGACACTGAACTCAGGAAGGGAGAGGGGCTGTGTGCTGAAGGCCGGGGAGCAGGCCTGTTTGGTGTACCCTTTGGTTGTTTGATGATGCATAGGGTGGGATTGTAATCATTGCAATGAGGCGAAGTGCCATAGGATAAGTGTAGGACTGGTGTTCTCCCATGTAAACCTCACAATAAAACCTTCAAAAAAATAAAGAAGTTACTGAATTGCAGAGAGATGATTTGATGCTAAACAGAGCACAAGAGAAGAAGAAAATTAGAGGCTGCAAACTTTGCTGTTTTCAGAGGAAATTCAGTGGAGCTTTAAAAATGGAAAAGGCTGCTGGGTACATACTCAATGAACTCATCTCCTTTGATTTGAAGTGCAATCCCTTCTCCCACTCATGGGCTGCACTCAGCCTCCCTGGCTCTTGAAAGGGGCTATTATGCATGTAAGCTCTTTTCAAAGGGTGAGGAATGTCAAATTATATTATTATTTTTGCTTCCAAGTACCTGATGAGAGCTGTAATCTCCACTTTGGAGAAGGTCTGGCTGCACCTGAGGAGCAGGTGGGAAGAGAGATTTTGCATACGCGTGTCCTCCATTTCCAAACAGAGCTGTAGCCTCTAATCTTATTCCCTCTAATACACGCTAGGGTACTATTCTTCCAGGCAGCCTGGAAAAAGCAAATTCTATGTTTAAGGAGGGCTTCATCTCCATGTGGAACTTGGCATCAGGATTGGAGGGAGACTCATTAACAACCTGCGATGTGCAGATAACACAACTTGGCTTGCTGCAAGAGAAGAGGACTTGAAGCACTTGCTGATGAAGATCAAAGACGACAGCCTTCAGTATGGATTGCACCTCAAAGTAAAGAAAACAAATATCCTCACATCATGATAATTGGAGGAAAGATTGAAGTTGTCAAGAATTTCATAATCAAGGTTCATGGAATCAGCAGTCAAGAACTCAAACAATGTATTGCATTGGGCAAATCTGCAAAAGACCTCTTTAATGTGCTAACGAGCAAAGATGTCACTTTGAGGACTAAGGTGTGCCTGGCCCAAGCCATGATATTTTCAGTGGCTTCACATGCATGTGGAAGTTGGACAATGAATAAGGAAGACCATAGAAGAATTGATGCATTTGAATTTCAGTGTCAGCAAAGAATATTGAAAATACTGCAGACTGTCAGAAGAACAACATATCTGTTTTGGAAGAAGTATAGTCAGAATGCTTCTTAGAAATGAGAAGAGAAGAGACTTCATCACATGTACTTTGGGAATGTTATCAGGAGGGACCAGTTCCTAGAAATGGGGATGAGATCTGGTGGTACAAGGTAAGACTCTTGTGGTAGAGAGTCAGTGAAAAAAGGAAGACCCCCAACAAGATGGATTAACACAGAGACAGTAGCAATGGGCTCAAACATAACAGTTGTGAAGATGGCAGAGGACCAGGCAGTAGTTTGTTCTGTTACTATGAGTTGGAACAGATACAACAGCACCTAACAACGGCATCACCTTATGGACAAAAAACCCAAAGCAGTTTCTGTTGTCTTATAGCAACCCCATGTGGTGCAGGGGTTGGCCGTAACCATTTGAAAACAGATCACTAGGTCTTTCTTTCAAGGCTCCTCAGAGTGGGTTCCAACTGTCAACCTTTCAGTTTGTACTACCCAAGGACTTTTCAGTACCTCTAGGGTCACCGTTTATTCCCAGGAGAGCAGTGTCTGCTGGTTCAACGGGCAGATAAACTAGGATTGTCCATCCTCAAAAACATATGGCCAAGATGGAAATTCAGTATCATCCCCAAGCCACAGCAGAGTTGTACGGAATGGGTGGTCAACAGCTGTTGGCTCCCTTCACTGACAATGTAATGACATCACTTCTAGTGGGCAGAGAGCTAGGATTAAGGTTTAAAATTTACAATAAATAACAGGGGCATGAGCTGCTGCAGCAAGTCAGAGGTACAATAGTAAGCACTCATAGAGTACTTGGTCCATGGAACAAAGGCTGCCTAAATGAAACCCTGCTCTACACCCAGGTGGCTTGTGGATCAGACTCTTCTCCATAAGGATTTCATTGGCTCTATTCCCAGAAGTCATTCTGCAGACCCTTCTAGTCTGTGTTAGTCTGGGAGCTCAGCTGGAATTCATTCAACATTTTAATGACAGGCAAGCCTTGGCCTACAGGCAGTGTTGTGCTGTAGGTGCCTTGACTAGGAATGAATGCAGGTTTCCTGGATGAAAGAGAATTCTACCACTAAATACTTAAAGATCTTGCCCTATATAAGCCTCACAAAGACCCTATGAGGTAAGTGTTATTATCATTTTATGAATGTGGAAACTAAGATATAAAGAGAATAATTACTTCCTTTTCTAGGATCACATAGTTTGTAAATAGGGTAGTAAAATATGCTACTTGTCCTGCCCCCAGCCTGTGTTTTTAACTACTTTCATATGTCAAATATTCTTCCACTTACTAAATGCTGCCTGGGGCAAAGTCAGGTAACTTCTCAGAGCCTCCTTTCCACTCTGTAAAAAAAAACCGGGAGCAACAATCCCCACCTCATAGAGTCCTGGGGTTTGGATGTAATAAACATGAATTGCCTAGCACAGATGAAGACAACTGTTTGACAGTGACCAGAAACCGTCATGAGTTCACCATCTATTCCATCCTACCCTGCCAATTTACTCATCTTCGAAGTACTCCATCTCAGTGAATACAAGTGCCTTTTATGTCTACTTTTCCCTCTCTCCTATGCTCAGTGGCAAATATGGGAAGCTCCCCAGACCCAGCTGCCAGCTAGCAACCTGTCTTT